TGGGTGGATGGGTGGGTGGGTGGATGGGTGGGTGGATGGGTGGGTGGGTGGATGGTTGGGTGGATGGATGGATGGATGGTTGGGTGGGTGGGTGGATGGATGGATGGTTGGGTGGGTGGGTGGGTGGATGGATGGGTAAGTTGGTGGGTAGGAAGGTCCAGGGCTGGGCTCAGTGGGAAGAGCACTCACAGCGTGAAGCCCTTGGTTCATTCCACCCCAGCATCACGCAAAACAGGCACAGTGGCGAAGGCCTGTCATACTAACACTTGACAAAGCAGGGGGATCAGGATTTAAGGTTATCCTTAGCTACGGTGAGTTAGAGGCTAGCCTGGGCTATGTGGGGCCCAGGTCCTCCCCATTTCTTATTCAGACTTGATCCCCTCTTTCTCCCAGGCCATCCATGGGCTGTCACTACCCTCCAGCCCCCAGCACCTTGTTTTTCAGGTCTGACAGGCCCTCATGAGTCCCTCTGTCATGTCTCTCATAGGAGGAGACATGGTCGAGTGTCACCCATCATGTTCTGTCCTTGTCCAAAGGGAATGCTGGACGGTCATGGTTCCCCCTGGGCTTCAGGATCCACGCGCCTCTCACCAGCCCTTCTGGGTCCCCAGGAGACATGTTGGCAAGATCATGGGGTAATTGGGTTGCTTCAAGGACTGGACTGCCTCTCTGTGAGAAAGGGGCTCCTAAAGACAGTCACTGACCCCCTTGAGAACCCACTCCTCCCACTTGTGGCTTTGTTTTGTGGGGTTGTTTTAGGGATACACACTGCGCCTCACCCCCGTCCTCTGAGACACCCTTGCTGGCATCACCCAGAGCAAGAGTTGGATGCTGGCTCTTGAATTCCGTGCCTATCTGGAACCAGGATTACCAGCAGAGCAAGGCTGGTGTACTTTTAGAGCCAAAGAGAGAAAGAAAAAGAAAGTGACCATTTATTCCTGTACTGTCCGGTGGGTAGGGGAATCCCCAAGGCCCCCAACCCTTCTGGCTTTTATGAATTCTCTTGTTCAGACAGCAAGCATTGGTTGAGCACCACTGTACAGGGTCTGGCTTGGCTACAGATCGGGACATAGACAATAACTCGATAATGGTACATGTAAGGGGTGTGCACGCCTGTGTGCATGCGTGTAAGGACTGTTCTAGGCACACGCAAAGATCCCAAGATACACACAGCACTGTGGAGCAGAGTGAGCAGAGGACACAGTGTCCTGAGGAGTCACCGCCTGGAGACTGTGGGCCATATTCAGTTGCCAAGGAAAGTTGAACAGTGTTGGGCCTCCGGGTCTGGGGGTCTGCTTTATATTTTAAAAAGCTGGCCGTGGGTTTGGGGAGACCATGAGCCTGGCAGGCCTTTGCCACGGTCCACTGCAGACCAGTGTCTGCAATTTTCTCTGTGAGCGAGGGAGTAGTATTGAGTTTTGAAGGGCCAGGTATGTGTATGGGGGTGAGGGGCAGCTGAGAGGGTAAGAGGGCTTTCTCTGCAAACAGAAAGACGCCAGTTCAAATCCTGAGCTCATGTAAGACGTGAGCATAGCTCTGTGCATCTATAACACCAGTGCTGTCTGTGAGTAGAGCCGAGAGAATGACCTTTACAGACGCGCATGTGCAGACAGACAGATCGACAGACACTCATGCACACAGAGCAGGGGTGAGGCAAGGGAGACAGCTCAGTGGGTAAAGCTCTTGCCTTAATCCCGGCATCCAGGCAAGGCATCTGAGGTGGTGTGAGCCAGCTGCTCACCATGCACAGGTCAGCGAGAGACCCCACCTCCAAAAATAATCTCACCTGCCTGTACTGGTGACCACGCATGCGCATTGAGGACAAGCAGACTGGATATGGTTGAGCTGGCGGGGCAGGGACCTGTCACCAGGTGTGCTGTCCCTTATAGAGTCAAGACTATGGACATGCCTATTGTGTTTTATAAAAAGATAAGGAGAGAAGGAATATGTCTGGTGGATGTGCAGTCAGGTGTGGGGAAGGGGGTGCCTCTGCGGGCCCATCCTGAGGCATCCCTTCCCCCTGAGGACGGTATAATATAGACAGAGTTTATTCAGGGCATGGGGAGGGCAGAGAAGAGGGTAGTAGAGACAGAGAAAGGCAGAGAGTAGAGGAGTAGAGCCCGGCCACGAGCTCGTGAGGCGGGGAGGGGAGTGGGGGGAGAGAGGGTAAGGGCCAAGAGGACAGAGTACAAGTAAGGAAGCAAGAGGGAGAGGAGGGCGCGAGCAGCCCCTTTTATAGTGAGTCAGGCACTCCTGGCTGTTGCCAGGTAACTGTGGGGCGGAGCTTAGACTAAATGCCAACAGCGCCCAGCCCGCCCCCTCAATCCTAGAGATACCCACAGGTGAGCAGTCCAGTGAGCACCCAGCCTCCACTCACACCTCATGGGCTGCGGTGCTTGGACCAGCAAGACAGCAAGAACAGCACTTACTGCTGTTGTTTTGACAGGGTCTCATGTAGCGTAGTCTAGCCTCAAACTCGATATGTAGCTGACAATGACCTTGAACCCCATGACCCTCAGTTGCTGCTGTGCCATGTAGAGAACCCCATACAGTGCACCAGGAAGTTCCCCTCATCTTTGAAGGGAGCCAGGCCTCAGTTTCCCCAGCTGTCCTAGGAGGTAAAGGAGCCTCTGGCAACCTCCCACTTCCAGGCTTTTATATGCTAATAAACATTCTCACAGGGCCCCCCTCTGCCCCTCTCGGCCTGCGTTTACATGACAGGGACCCAGGGGACACTTGGAAAGATCTGAGGGTTCCTGCTGCCTTAGCCTGAGGCAGAGATGGAAGGGTAACTGCAGTCCAACCTGGCAGGTCAACCTCCGTCCTCTAAGAAGAGGCTGGGTCAGGCCCGTCCCCCCAGAGGACTGCTGGGGGACAACTGGACAACCCCCCAAGGCTGAGGCTCTGAAATCAGGACTAGGGCAGTGAGAATGGTGTGTGTGTGCATGTGCGTGTGCGTGTGTGCGTGTGCGTGTGTGCGTGTGTGTGTGTGCGTGTGTGTGTGTGTGTGTGTGTGTGTGTAACTTGCTAGACAGAAAGATTGTGTGGTGCTCCAGTGTCATCCCCAACGTCAGGAAGACAAGTAGTTGAAGGTCATTCTTGGCTACTTTTGAAGCTCAGAGCCAGCCTAGGCTTCAAGACATTCTGTCACCAAAAAAGTGCACCCAGAAGGCAAAAAACACACCAGAGTCACACAGCATGGGAGGTTGGCTTGATCCTCAGCTGCCTCCAAAATGCTTCAGCCCTGTGGGAGGCTGAGAGAGGGGAGTGGAGGTGTCCTCTGAGCTCTGCCTCCTTGCAGGGAAACAGGCAGGGATGGTGGCCACACGGGACTGTGTCAGGTTGTGTGTGTGGACCTCAGGCCCATTGCCTGCTGACCGGCCCTCCCGCACAGGTTTCAGGTGAGCACCGTGGGTGATGGTAGAGGCTACACCGTGGAGGTGAGTATCAACGACTACCTGGATATCTACTGCCCACACTACGGGGCACCGCTGCCCCCAGCGGAGCGCATGGAACGGTACGTCCTGTACATGGTGAACGGCGAGGGCCACGCGTCCTGCGACCACCGGCAGCGAGGCTTCAAGCGCTGGGAGTGCAACCGGCCCGCAGCGCCTGGGGGACCCCTCAAGTTCTCAGAGAAGTTCCAACTCTTCACCCCCTTTTCCCTGGGCTTTGAGTTCCGGCCTGGCCATGAATACTACTACATCTGTGAGTAGCCCAGGCTAGCCTCCTCAGCATATGGGTGAAACTGAGGCAGTGTTCCCAGCTCTTGTCCACCCCATGTCCCATGACCCTGGAAGAAGGAGGAGGATGAAGTGGAGGAACCTCCGTTTCTGAGTGTGTCCCAGGATGGCCCAGTGGGGAACAGGGCCTCGGAACCTCCCGGAGCTGCAGCAGATCCTGCACCACCACCTGGCTTTCAAGTGAAACCTTGAAAGGCCCCATTTCTTCTTTATCATTGTCACCTTCCTCCTCCTCCTCCTCTTCCTCCTCCCCCTCCTTTTAATTCAATCGGGTGGGGAGGAGCAGGAGGTATTTAAAATGAAATCCTAGAATATGAGAAAAAATGATATTTTGAAAGATGATGAGCAGCCGGGCAGTGGTGGCGCACACCTTTAGTCCCAGCACTTGGGAGGCAGAGGCAGGTGAATTTCTGAGTTCAAGAGTTCGAGGCTATCCTGGTCTACAGAGTGAGTTCCAGGACAGCCAGGGCTACACACAGAGAAACCCTGTCTCGAAAAACAAAACCAAAAAAGAAAAAAAGAAAAAAGAAAAAGAAAGATGATGAGTATAGTAATCCCGTCCATTCTCCATAACAAATGTCATTTTTATTTTGTACATTTTAATCTTCCAGCCCTGGCATGGGGCAAGGGTGAGGGTGGCTGACAGGCCATGAGGTGCTGTCCCTGCACTAGAGGTTGGTTCCTAGGCTCCAGGTCTCCCATTCCAGCTGCCAAGGAGCCACCCGCATGTAGCCCAGGCTGGCCTCCTCTGCTGTGATGACATGTGCATGCCCGGATGTTTTACTTATTTACATATTTGTGTATATACAAGTTAACCTATGTGCCCAGGTGGGCGGAGCCCAAAGGCTGGTGTTGAGTGTCCTCCTCTCCGCCTTTGTTCTCAGGCTCTCTCACTGAACCTGGAGCAGAGCCAGTTTGGTCAGTGAGCCCCAGTCAACCCCCTGTCCCTTGTCCTCAGCTCTGTGGTCATGAGCAAGTAGGCCCCACAGGCAGCTTTTCCTGCGCACGCCGGGATCTGAACGCGGTTCTCGTGCTTGCTCAGCACTTGCTGTACCCACCAAGCCGCCTCCCAGCTCCTGCTCCGTTTCGTTTTTATTTTGCTTAAAAAACGTCACCTTAGGTCAGGCATGGTGGCGCACGCTTTTAATCCCAGCATGTGGGAGGCAGAGGCAAGGGGATCTCTGACTTTCAAGCTAGCTTGGTTACATAGAGAGTTCCAGGACAGCCAGGACTGCATAAAGAGATTCCCTCACAAATCAATCTGAATGAATGAATGAATGAATGAATGAATGAATGAATGAATGAATAACTCTTACCCTGCCCTGCTAGTGTCTGAGCTGGTTGGTCCAAGACATAACTCAGCCTTTGGAGTCAGGTTTAGATGGAGGAAACATAAAAGAGACTTCCAGAAAACACAGGGTACTGTGTCTGGGGTTTTAACACATGGTCAGGAGTTTTCTGGGTGGAGAAGGGAGCACACAGCCCCAGCACGCTGTCATCTTTTCCAGCTGCCACACCTCCCAATCTGGTGGACCGACCTTGCCTGCGGCTGAAAGTTTATGTGCGTCCAACCAGTAAGTGTCATCAGAGATATGGTAAGGACCCAGGTCCCCTCACCTGCCCTTTGGCCCCATGAGTGATCCAAAGAGCTGGGGGTCGGGGACCACCATCTAACACATGCACCCACCATGCTCCACGCCTGGGACTTTTGAGAGTGCATATCCCAGGCCGGCTGACAGCCTGTCCCCTTTTTCCCCACAGATGAGAGCCTGTATGAGGCACCAGAGCCCATCTTCACCAGTAACAGCTCCTGCAGCGGCCTGGGTGGCTGCCACCTCTTTCTCACCACCGTCCCTGTGCTGTGGTCCCTACTGGGCTCCTAGTGCCGGGCTAGAGGACCCACCTGACCCCTTGACCTTCGCCCTCTGACCTGCCACGGCCACCTCCGAGACAAAGTCCTTGCTGCTTCTCTTTCATGGTGCTGTCCCGCCGGAGGAGGCCATCTACCCGTCCCTGGGATGCAACATGGGGTCCCACGGCCTGAGGAGGACACCCAGGCCAAGCCACGGCTGCCAGGGCCGCCCAGTGTTGTTTGATTACGGTCAGAAAGACTTAAGGTTTTTCTTTTAATTTAATTTATTCCCTGACATTGCTGGTGACGTTGGGAAGGGAACAAGCCACAGGGCTGAGGTGGAGCCATCTCTGGCCTTCCTGGAGGGCCAGAGATCCAGGGACCTCCAGGCGCTCCTGTTATTTGGGTCCCAGATGGAGCCCACCACAGATTTGCCTTGGGTTCCTCAGGCCAGGCAAGCCTGAGCCAGAAAGAGTGCATGGTGCCAGCCCCTCACAGGGACTCTGGGGGTGTCATCCCCCACTCTTCTAGCCACTGTCGAGCCCCACTCCCTCACCATCTCAGAAAACCCTTTGGCCCATGCAATGCAGTCCATACTGCCCCCAGGCACAAGCCAGCTGGGAAGTCGTTTTATTTCTGTAAATAGAAACCAGCAAGTGTATACTGTGATTTATTTTAATGTATTCTTAAGGACAGAATGGAAATTCTTTAAAAAAAATTTTTTCCGACCTTCAATTCAAGAGGTCTTTTATTTTGGTGGGGGGAGTGGGATGGACTTTTTAGGATAGAAGTAACACTTCGCAATAAATTCAATTTTTTTTTTTTGGTCCGTTGGAGCCCGCCCCCTTGATCATGTGACCTAGTAATGTTTGTAAGAAAAAAAAAGTAAAAAAAAAAAAAAAAAAGTGCAGGACTGGAAAGGAAGGGGAGCTACCTACCAAAAACACAGACGGCAAAGGACCGAGTGAAGCTGGCCGCACCACACATTTATACGGATTTCGGATTTCTACCCACGTTTCCTCACTCTGTTTTCTATATATTCTATATAAATATATATTGTGGATGCGAGGGGCGGCTGGGGCTTTTCTAGGGGCGGGGGATGGGTGGCCCGGCCCCCTCATCACAATCAGCTCTGAAGTCTGTATTTTTTTATAATAAAATGCACAAACTGTAAGGCGTGGGCCTCTCTGTTACGGGTGTGCTGGATTTCCGACGAGTGCGGGAGTTCCGGGGAGTCCCCCAGCTGCGGACAGGCCCCGCTGCTTCCTGCCAGCTCTCACGGTTACTTACGGGGAGGGTCGGGCTTGAGGCAGGCCTGTCACCCGCAGCGTGGTGGCACATGGCGGCTGAGGCTGCTCGGGCCAGCGGTGGCGTTCACCGGCAAACAAAAGAGCGCGGTGGGAGGCGAGGCTGACACCGAGGTCGCCCCCCCGGCCTTTGTGCCCGCGCCCGCACAGGCGAGTGCACGATAAATGGACATTTCTGAGACTCAGTTTCCCCATCTGACTCAGGGGTGTGAGGGCTGTGGCGGATTTAAAATGACTCTCCGAGGGAAGAGAGACCCGGGTCCCCGCTGAGCCCCACTTGGGCTCACGGGCGACAGGTGACCCGACGGCGAGCCTGGGATCCCAGCGGTCTTCCCTCGCCCGCGCGGCACCGCAGCGCCGGCACAGTTGGCGGAGGCGACGCTCCGCTCCGGGCGCATTCATTCAGCCGCGCCGGGCCCGGCAACGGGGGCCGCTTCCTAATGAGGCCGCGGACCGTACAAAGGACCTTGTGTCACTGCAGCCGGGCCGGCGCTGCCCACGAGGGCGGATCGACGGCGGACGTGGCTTTGGGGAGGCCCCACTGCACCGAGGACCCCGGGAGCAACGCTGCCAACGAGCCAGGGCTCCAGAGGCAGAGGCAGGGGGATGTCTGCGTTCATGGCCAGCCTGGGCTACAGACTGAGACCCTGTAGAATGGAGAAGAGCCCGCTGGCATCGAGGACCAAGCGCAAGCTGCAGAGTCCGTGCAAAAGCCGGGCCAGGCCATGCAAGTCTGTGACGCAGCTGGGGACGCAGAAGCAGGGAGCCCTCCGTGTGCCGCTGTCCAGCCAGGCCCGGTGCTGGTGCCCGAGGCCGGGGACTCAGCACCTGTCCCCCGTCCTTCTGCCCCGGGGCGCCCACCGCCTCGCACCCCACCCAGGCGGAGCGCGACAGCATCGGTATGCCGGTCCCGCGTCTTTGTCTATTCCACCTGAAGCTTCCAGAGAGAAGCAATCTGTCTCCCGCAGCCCTTTACTGCCGCCTCGGTAGCCGCTGTGGACAGGGGGTGGTGGCGTGGAGGGACAGCAAGGCGCAAGGTCCCCCGGGACGCTGATGGCGCCTCCGGCCCCTCAGCTGTCCCATGTCCCAGCAACAGAAGACAGCATCCACCTCCTCCTAGCCCCCTAGCTCCCCAGCCCCTAAACTAACGCCACGCCCTTCTTTCTTTTTTCTTTAATTTTTATCCTTTCTTTTCTTTCATTTTCTTTCTTTCCTTTTCTTTCTTTCTTTTTTTTTTTTTTTTGAAAACAAGGTCTCAGGTAGACCAGGCTGCCCTTACTATGTAGCCCAGGATGACATTGACCTCCAGGTCCCTGGAGCCTCTACCTTCCTCTTCCCAGTGCTTAGGGTAGCAGGTGCGTGCCACGCCCAGCTGGGATTTTTTTTCCCCTCTTATATAACTAAATCTCCTTTGTGTGCATTCCTCTTTTCTTTTTCTCTTCAGACCCTCTGCCCCGAGGGTTGGGAGCCAGGGCATCTTCAGTCCTTCCTGCCACCTAGAATACATTTGGTACACAGTGAGCTCTCAATCGATGGCCATTGACTGACTGAAAAAATGTTGAATACATTTGTGCAGATAAAGCCGCATGATCAAAAAAGAAAGAAAAAAGTATTTATTACAAATTGTACTGGGGAGGTTGAGGCAGGAGGCTGAGTTTGAGGCCAGCCTTGATTACATAGCAAGAGCTCCCGTCTAAAACAAACAAACCTTTGCGTGAAAAAAATTAAAAAGATAAATGAATAAATAAAAAATTCATCCTTCTTGTAACGTGAATAAGTAAAAATATAAAATAAAATAAAGCAGGGCAGTGGTGGCGCACGCCTTTAATCCCAGCACTTGGGAGGCAGAGGCAGGCAGATTTCTGAGTTCGAGGCCAGCCTGGTCTACAGAGTGAGTTCCAGGACAGCCAGGGCTATACAGAGAAACCCTGTCTCGAAAAACCAAAATAAATAAATAAATAAATTAATTAATTAATTAAAAAATTCCATCTCTCATGGTCAGAGCTCCCTGTAAGCACTAAGTGAGACCCGATAGTGTGCAGACACAGTGGGGCCTGTCCTCTCCATCTTGGCACCTGGCCTCTTCTTGGACATCCGGGTGAATTCCATTGTCCTGGAACGGAGCTACCTGAGCCACCCAGACACAGCCCGGAGCCACTAGGGAACCACGAATCACGACAGTCGACACGGCTACCCACCCTGTGGTGGTACTGTGTGGATGGGGGGACGCCCACAGACATGGGACTTCAAACTGCTATCCTCAGTTTCCCCTCAGGGGATGCTGCTCTCAGGTGGGAGTAGTAAACAATCCTTGAGGGTAGGGCATGGCCAGATGGGGCGGGGCTTAGGGGCAAGTGCTGGGCGGGAGGGGTGTGGCCTCTGAAGGGAGGTGTGAAAAAGGTGCAGCATGGGATAGCAGGTCTGGGAAGGGTTGGGGCTTGGGTTTCTCAGTGTTGGAGTCAGAGGCCTCCTGGAACCCCTGAAGGTGCTGGAAGAGAGCTGCACCCTGAGTCCTGGGCGAACAGAGCTTCTGGAGCTCTCCTACAAGCAGCACCACTGACAGAGGACTTAGGCAGGGGTTTCTATTTATTGAGCCCAGGGCTGGAGGTGGGAGGGTGGTGGGAGGGGGACGAGGCTGTTGGGCGGGTTCTGCAGGACTGGGACTCCCTTTGGCTGAGTAGGGTTAGAATCCCTGTCCCGGGCTCCCCTACCTCCACCGTCCACACTTACAGGCTCACAGATCAGTCCTAAGAGAGGGAAGGGGCCGGGCGGTGGTGGCGCACGCCTTTAGACCCAGCACTCCGGAGGCAGAGGCAGGTGGATCTCTGAGTTCGAGACCAGCCTGGTCTACAGAGTGAGTTCCAGGACAGCCAGGGCTGCACACAGAAACTCCACCTCAAAAACAAACAAACAAAAAAACACACACACAAACAAAAAAACAAAACAAAAAAAAACCCAAACCATTGTGAGGCAGAGACAGGCGGATTTCTGAGTTCAAGGCCAGCCTGGTCTACAGAGTGAGTTCCAGGACAGCCAGGGCTACACAGAGAAACCCTGTCTTGAAAAACCAAACAAACAAACAAAAAAAAACAGACCAAACCAGAATAGAACAGAAACCAAAGTGATGTCTAGCTCCAGGTGCTCAGTAGGCTCAGCCTTTTATCCCAGGAAAAGAGATGGCTGCTTTTCCTGCTGGACCTCAGTTTACCCATCTGTAGCAGTCTAGACCAACTGTATAGTTGCTCAGGAAGGAGAACTCATCCCAGACTCCATGTGAGGACCCTGTTCATGACTTGTGGGTGGGTCCCTCGAGATCCCAGCCAGTGGGGAGTCCAGCTCTCACCTGCCCCTCCCCCCGGCCCTCCAGGCTAGAGCCAGTTTGGGGAGCTCACTGACAAGGGACAGACCTCAAGGGTCCTTTCTCCTGCAGACGTGGGAGCTGGAGCCAGTGTGGGAGGGGACCCTACCAGGGAGTCTGGTGACTTTGGGGAGCCCTGGTCCTGGCAGGGCTGGGCCTGTGCAGTGTTGGCCCCACTCCCACCTCCCATCTGACATCACGGCCCAGCTGGAATTAAGAACATATGTCATTCCCCCTGTGTGAGTGATGACCCCCATGCGCTAGGGTGACATTAGTGTCGTTTGTCATACATGAACAGGACTGAGGCTCAGAGGCCATGCCTGTGGCTTCAAGGGGAGACTGAAGGACAGAGATGTCCAACGCCACTTAGATAGGAATGGCACCATCAGGAACTGAAGCCTGGCTTTCAGAACCTTCCTTACCACCCACTACAGACCAAGTCCCTGGCCGTCTCGCAGTTCCATTTTGTTAGTCAGCATGTACCTGAGAACATGGAGGGTTCTTCTGTGAGCTGAGTGGCCAGGCCCTGACCAATCCAAGCATCCCTGTGTCTCCCACAGAATGAGCCACTGTCCAGGAGCACTTGCTAAGTATCTGAAGTGGTGTTATGGGGGAAATTGAGTCAACTGCTCCCCTATCAGAGAGGCTCTAGGCTTGTTTTCCATCGTCCTCCCCCCCCCCCCCAAGGCCAGAGACAGGGCTGGTAGCAGGCCTCTCTTGGATGAGGGAGGCAGCGAGGAACTCTGCAGGAACCAGCGGTGCTGGCTGGCAGATCTTTAAATTAAAATACATATATACACCAGATAAATAACCCAGGCCCATATCCTGGTGACAGGCAGAATTAAGTTGCCTGGTTGGGGACCCGGCAGTGAACACTGGGACAGCATGAGAGGACTGAGAGATGTAACCCACTCTCCCTCCTCAGCTGTCTCCATTCTGCTTGGTCAACCATCCCACGCATGTCCTTCCTCCTCCCTACCAGGGACCTGGGACACACTCAGCTGGGCCAGAGTGAGATCTGTGGGCTCAGAACCCCTGATTCTGGGTCCTAGGTTCTCTAGGGTGGGCATTAGGCAGGCCACCAGCCCTTGGGAGATGCTGCAGTCTGGCCCTTTGCTTGCACACACCCAAGGAGGCCCCTCGGGGGCCTCCACACAACTGCGGGGTCCTCCCAGCTCCATGGAGAGAGGCGGAGAGAGGGCAGAAGGGGATTTTTCAATTAGGACTCAGCTAATCGCCAGAGAGGGCCGCTCTGGGGCCCAGTGAATCTTTTCTGAAAACCCTGTACAATGTAAATGGCCTGGACAATCCCGGGATTAGGCTATTGGGAGGGAAACCAAGGTGTGGGCTAGCTGGGGGATTAGCCGGTAGCAGGGGTGCTCTGGCGGGCTTTGGACAGAGCAGTCCCTGGAGATCCATTTTATCACTGAAGACACCAGTTTTATAGCTGGGGAAACTGAGGCCCAGAGTGTGGGACAGCTGTCCTTCCGAGAATACCTCCTCCAAGGC